TGCCAAAAATCATCAGCCACGGAGCCACTTGGATAAGCTCCTCCAGAACAGATGGCAGGACCTGTGAGTTGCTAGAAGAAGCTGACAACTTGACTGACCCTTACAGAAATGGTCTTATCCCCACTCCATGATGCCTGAATTTCCTTTTCCCCTTCCATGGAGCAGGGATAGCGAACAGACACATCTTGCTTGTGGAGGCCTTTTGAAAGCCTCTGTTGCAAGGAACAGCCTGAATGCTAAGTATTACTTGAGATTTTGTTTATTTTGTTGGGATGTTCCAGGAGAGCAAAATCCGCTCAAATGTGGCAAGGCAGCTGTGTGGTGTGGGAAATAGCGACCTAGGGAGATGAGCAATGGGTGAGGCGTATGGGGAATAGCCTGGTCTTGAAGTCAGGAATTTCACAGCTATGCTCCAGCATCTTGAGCTGTATAAATGAATCATCAGCACAGCGAAACCACAGAACGACACCAGCTTCCCTAAAAGAGTCTCTCTATATATATAGCTGCTAGACTTGCATATTTCTGTTTATAAATACTAAGAACTGACCGCAAAGTGACATGGCCCTCTCAGCAGACAGCTCCTAAAGAAATATTTGTTCTATCTTTCATTTCTTCCTGAGTTATTTTAAACCAGACTTTTGCACCTCCAGATACACTATTTTAACTCAAAATCCTGGTACTGGTGCATGTGATCAGAATATTTTCTGGACAAAAAGACAGCTAGGACAGAGCTTTTCTGAAGAAAGTCAACTGAAAGTGTTGATTCTTATTAGATGTTTCTGAGGATATCATTATGCTATCTGGGAACTGCACTGCTACTATGTAGATATTTGGGTTTAGTTTAGTTTTCTAAGGCAGATCAGCATGTTATTGCATGATAAACTCACTTTGAACACTTTAGCCTGCTTCACCTGTATTTTCCAAGGGGCTGTAATTTCAAAGAGTCTGGAGCTGTGGTAGTGTGAGGAAAATTGGTCACTGCTGGTGTATAGAGATGGGAAACCCGAAGTTTTGCCTCACAGAAGGAAGGTCAGGCAGAGCCCAGTCCTTACATGTGCTGATGGGTAGTGACAAGTTGACCAGTAGCACTGCTGTAGTTTGAGTGAGCCGGAGCATGTGCTGCACCTGGCCTAGACAAACTAGTCACGGGTGAGGTGGGAGCAGAGGGCATGAAGTGTGGGGGAGGAAAAGGCTGGAGTGTGGTGGGAAAAGGCCATGAGGGGAGAGCTGAAGTGGCTGCAGCAGAAGGTGGGTTGTGTGTGTGTGTTAAGGGCATGGGGCGCAAATCTCCAGAGAAGCAAGTGATGTTAGTTCTGCTGCTCATTTTACAGCTTGCTGTCGGATGGCTTCACTCAGTGAATGCAATTAATACATTTGCAACAGTTGTTAGGTACAACCTTTTCAAAGACACCAAACCTCGTTTCCTGCAGTTTTGCTCTTTTTGAGTCTGGTAAATGTCTGGATTATTTGCTGGGAACTTGCCTGGCTCTTGTGACCAGGGTTACCATTAAAGACTCCCACCTTTATTGCATAAGTCACTCATATAGTAGTAGCCTGAACCTAGACTTAATGTAACATAGGTCACCCAGTCCGACAGCCCTTCTGTCTGGTTGCCATATGGTGAACTGGAAAAGAAAGGCCTGAAATAATTCTATAATCCATGAGGTCAGATTCTCAGAACGAAGTGCAGGAGCTTCAGAAAGAAAAAGCTGTGGTTTTGTAGCCCAAATGTAGGAGTTTATCATAAACGGAGATGAATTCTTTCTTTTCACCAACAAGTTGGCACACCACAGGGCAGTGACTAATTTTAGTTGCATTATCAGCCTTTCAGGTTCACAGATAACATGACTGCTTAAGGAAAACCAGGAAGCCATGTGTGAGGCTGACAGCTATAGAAACCCTTGCAATGACTGTGTTGATCAGGATAGAGAAACGGTAAAGATCATTATACATTGAAACACAGGGCTGATTTTTTTTTTCTCTTTGTTTATTTACTGAAGTTGCTGTAATGTGGTGGATATTGCCTGCACAAAAGAATATGTACAACCCAAGCATATGACACATCCTCAAAGATTGCAGTATGTTAATAGTTGTCATCATCTCTCCATAGTAGATGGCAGCATGGTCTCAAAAACTGATAATTTTTGATCTCTTTTAAACAGTATTCTAAGGTCTCCAGTATAACTGAGACTGATATTAGTTAAAGAAAGTGTTCATGAATCATGTTAGGGTTGAGTAAAAAGTGGTTCTTACCTGCTTACTGTGATAAACAGCTATGTTGTTTCTATTAGTCATTATTTGGTTAGTGCGATCACCTCCTAAGCCTGAGCCTTAGGCTAGGACCCCAGTGCTGCACAGCTGAGGTTTATGAAGTCTGGGGAGGGGAAGGTATTTTACTGAGATCTGCTGCCAGGGACCTGGGTGCTGACTCCCGGTCCAGCAGGTCAGCCGGACACTGCATATGTCCTTCCTGGGCTGGCAATGAGGCGGTGTGTGACAGCTGATCCCTGAGGGATCCATAGGCTGTAAGAAATGCAGGGTTCCCTGCAGGAGGCACCACATGTCAGGAAAAACTGGCTTGTGGTCCAGTTCCAGACTGAAGTCCTCCGCTAGGTTGCCCTCTTCTGAACAGGTGGAGGCCAACATTACCACAATTCATAACCCATTTTTTACGCCTTCTACTCATGAGCCTGGGCGCCATAATCTGCTTATAACTGTTGATTCTTCACACTCCATTGCAAAGAGCACCTCAGCGCAAGCTGTAACACTAAGATAGATGTTACGGAAGGAAAGGGGAATCAACCCATTTGTGATTCATAAGCAATGTGGGATATCACAAAATATTTGTGTTGTCCATGAAGAGCTTGCTAAACCACATTATGTGAAGACGGCAATTACTTAGCTGATGACTATGCTGCAGGACACCTTTTGTTACCCATGAGAATTTTTTATTTGAGGTAGAGCGTGAAATGGTCATGTGAAGACATGAGTGTATGCAAAATACCATTCGTCAGAAAAAAGGGAAATTTAGTCATATATTTAGCAGTCGTTTCCCCTTTTTTGGGAAGTCCAAATACATTTTTCTCTCTCTCTCTCTCTGTGTCTCTGTTTCTCTCACCCTCACTCTACGGAAGGAAAGAAAGGTGGGTCTAAAATGTCATTTGGTTCTGACACAAATCTGATTGGGCAATGAGACACAGATTTCCGCTGTGTGTTGAGCTAAATGCTATATAAGGTCCTCATCAGTAATTTTTAGTCTTATATCTTTTCATGAGAAGCTGAAGGCTGAAAGACTGCAGAAGCACAGGTAAGTGAATCTGATGGAAACTTGGGAATGAAAACCATCCCTAAGCTCTCAGATTGGGTAGTGGGTAGGGTTTATGGAGATTGCTAGATACTAAACCAAAGGGACCAGAAAGCTCTGAACAAAATAACCAAGTGTTTTTATCAGGCAAAGGATCTAACAAGAGAGATACTCCCTTGTTACATGTGAGCCATCGGGCTTGTTAACACCGCGGATGAAGCCACTAGCACCTAGTCCAGATATAGCCAAGAGGGGCTGCAGGTCCATGCCGATGCCCTGGAAACCCTTGCAGATCTAGCAGTAGAGGAGATGACCCGTGGTTATGAAACAGTGTTATTGAGCAAGAGGTTGGCTTTGTGGTGGTGTGGAGTTGACAATAAGCTGGAAATAGTTTATTACAGTCAAACTATCCGATGTCAGATAAATATAGTTACTAGAACAGGGAGAAATTTTAATTAAAACCTCATTATAAATATCAACATGATTGGATACGCAGAAGATGCCTGAAGATGAGTACCTATGAATATGACTGTGTTATATTGGTATAAATATGGTTTTGCTTTTGGATACAATTTAAAGTAGTTTTTCAAACTTTAATATTCATCCTATGAGGCAATCATAGTGTTAGGATAATGTTAAGTACATGCAGTTTGCATTTCTGTATATAAAATGGAAACAGTATGTATCACATGCATATGTGTACAGTATTGCACATAAATACCTTACATAGAGCGTAAACTATTGCCTATATATAGCGTGTTTTATGTGGTTTTGTCTGTGGTACACTGAGATAACACATAATCAATAAACTGAGTAGCAGCACCTCTAACCTTACGGGAGACCAGAAAGCATTCAGTGATGTATGGAGAAGTTGCCTTGCCCATGCCAGGACAATACAGACGACAATTAATGAATGACTGGCAGCAGATAGTTTTGTTTTACCTTAGTGTCACCATGCCTGAATTTTAGGACAAGTTGTTCAGGGTTTTCCGTATCTTTTTTTGGTGCAGATGGGAATAGTGTCCACGCTGAAACTTGCTTGCGCACCAACAGCAAGATGGGCGTGCATGCTGTGGGAGTCAAATTTTTCTGTCCCAAGAGAAACGTTTGTTGGAGACTGAAAGCTTGGCTCTGGTTATAGCAGGAAGTTTGCCTGCAGCCTGATCTATGCTAGCTGGCCTACTTTGGTAGCCACAGTAGGGAAGATAAAGTGGCGCAGGATTTAACGAGGGCCATACAACCTTGGGAGACACCTGAAGTGACTGCTTAAGACAGCTAAAGTTTATCCCGCTGCATCTTTGCCCCTGTGTTCACCCAACCTGCCACACCACAGCTAACTCGAAGTGGCTGACCCGTACCTCAGTCACATCTTATTGCAAAATAAGCAGAGCTAGATTTTTCCACATGGTGCTGTTGCACTGAAAAGCTGTGAGGACAGCAGCATCTTGTGGTATGTTGTTTGCATCTCCTGGAGTGAAAGGAAAGGGACAGAAGTAACATATTTGTGCCAGGCCAGATGCTCACGTTCCACAAGTCAGCCTTCATAAACTAGGCATGAAGAAGCCTTTCTGCTCACTAAGGGCAAAACAAAGCTCACCAGGTCCAGAGTGAGGAAAAGAACAGTTAATTCTAAAGATAACATTGAGTACGTCCATTGTATCTTCTGTCTTGTAATAAACTTCCTTGTAGATTTCAAGACAATTTCCCTCGATCTTCTCCATCCTATTTCCTCTGGGAAAAAATGTGTGGGCTCTTCTTTGTCCTGGTGATGTGCACAGCAGGTGTTTCTGCTTTCAGATTCCAGCAAGTCAAAAGCACAGGTAAGGGCATGCTGCTTTTTATTTTTTTTTTTCCTTCTGTCTCCCTCTCCCTTCTTTTTAATGTGCTTGGCTGACAGTAATGTAAAAATATCTCTGATTTATATAGAAAACTGCCCAGATCACACCGTGTTTTTCAAACACTACTATGAACTGCATGGAGAACCTGTGGTTCTGAAATGCCCTTCCCCCAGATACAAACATTTGGATTTTTCTGCCTTGACCCCTAATATCACATGGTATAAAAACGGTTCAAAAAACATGATATCAGGAAGAGAAGAAGATCCAAGAATCTGGGCAAAAGGAGATGCCCTCTGGTTTTTACCAGCAATGCTAGAAGACTCAGGAGTATATATCTGCACCAGAAGGTGGGTATTTAAAAGAAAATCCAGTGCACTAACAAGATAACTATGTCTAAAATACATTAGCTTGATTCTGAACTCCGGTTGCATTCAGAGCATATCTGGGTAAGATACTTTCTTCGATGACTTTATTAGAGAAAAAAATGTGGAAAGTCAGAACTCTTAAATGCGTTGTGTGTCCTCTATAAGTTCATATACTGAAATCTGGATAAATCATGACACAGTATTGCCACTCTGGCTTATCTCACGAGGAAATACCGTATGTCAGAATTTGTTCCAGCTTATTTATAAGCCAGTCAGGTCTGTGGCAAGTGGGAACATGCTGCAGGCAGGGGATAATGCAGAATGCAACCCTCTTGTTACAGCTTCAGAGAAGCAAATAGCCTTGTTTGCACTTCAGATTGCCTTACAAAGCACATACCAAGGCTCTGCAGTGGCTTTCTTCTTCTCTCTTCCTTATCCCTGGTGTTTACTTTTCTTCTGCTTCACATTTTAAACTGGATTTTGATTGCCTTGGTTTTGCTGGAAGATCTGTCATGAGACCCAACACGTATTTACCAGGCTGGGACCAGACTTGTGATACCACAGTGGGCTGAGGCTTGGTCACATTTTTCTGAGTATCTGACAGCCCACTGTACAGTTTCAAAAGAGATACCAGGGTCTGGATTTGTGGGGGACTGAGGAAGGCAAAAAACGCCTGTCACCATTAGAGCCTGAACTCCAGAAGGTGTCCTGGGTCCTTGTCTCCTTGTCCCCTGCCAGCTTCTCCTTCCAGTCAGCCTCCCAGGACACCCTTGGCAACTGGCACCTTGCTCTGGGGTCTATAGTGGAAGACATATCTTTACATCCCTGGAGCTGCCTGTGTGGAGCCCTGTTTCCTTGCTGGCAAGGCACACCTCATGAGTGACGTGTGTCAGAAGTAGAAGAGATGGACAGGCAGAACTCACGTTAGTAAATCATGCCCAGCATATTGGGTCAGCCTTTCTGCATGTCTCAGCAGCGATTGCAGTGACAGGGCAAAGAAAAGACTTTGATAGTGAGGCCAGAACAGCAAGATTGCAAATATTGTCCTAGAGCACAGAGCAGTTGCCTGAGACCTTGAAGGGTGGTTTTTAATCCCCTTTCTGGAATATTCTGCCTCAGTTCCTCAACCTGTACCACTGCGGCAGTGTTATTGGCAGCTATAGTAAAATGCTGTGAAATCTGCTTGAAAAAGATATGCAAGAGCCGAGTACGTAGTTTCATCGTTAACATCATTACAGGGTTAATAAAGTACAAACAAATTGTATTTCCTTTGCAAATCATCCCACAGGGAAGCCACCGGATTTTTTTCCACACTCTGTAAAATGAGGGTAGTAGGAAATTATCACAGATCTCTGCTTCTGCTGAGCAAATATTTTGGATTTAGACTTCTGACCTATAGGTGACAGCTGATCACAGTGCCTTAGCAGTAGTGCAAGTCTGTCTGCTCACAGCCGCCAGTTGCTCTCCAGGAGGTCACAGCCCGGACCCCCTGGCTTTGCTGGTCCCTGCAGGGGTCAGGCACTGCCCTGCATGGAGGCATCTCCGAGGCAGGCTTTCAGAGGTTGTAAAGGACATAGTTTGAGCACTTATCTCTCCCAGTTTGGTCCGCCTTGGGACTGGAAGCGATTGTCACTTGGGGCCAGAAAGAAAAGTTAAATATTGCAAAACTTTCAAAGCAGGAACACCTTCTTTTCTACGCAAGATAACACGTACTCACAGAAATGCCTACTGGTTGTGCAATAGTAACTGCAGATCTATTTTAATAGATGCTTTAAGCTTTTTATTTCATCCTTAGGTCCCAAACACTAGGGTTTTCAAGGTCAAGACCTCTTTCAAGGAAATGGTGGAGGGTTCACGACACACCTGCTACTGTTCAGGTGAACATATTCCCCCGCCTCACAAAATTAAAATCATGCCGTAGCCTAAGGGTGCACAGCGAAATTGGTGTACAAAAAAGACTGAAACTCCCAGGGGGACATGTATCAGTAAAGTGTTTAGATTGTGCCAGAAAAAACAGTACCAGTGATGTTCCAGCATCCCTCCTGGTACAATCTCAGTCTTGGCCTCTTAGAAACTGCTAAGGAGGGAAACGGAGCCAGGAGGAAACTAAAGGTGTCACTCGAGTTCCTCTTGTAGCTGGTGGGTGCTCACTTCTCACCACTCTGTCTGCAGGAACTCCTCCTACTGTGCCGAGGTCTCCATCCACCTCACAGTCGTGGAGAAAACAGCTGCTCGGGAGATTGCATATCTCCAGGTCCTCTTCACTTTCACCTCCGGAAAGATCGTGTGCCCTGACCTGTGGGATTTTACACCAAATAGGACAAGCTTGGAGCTCAAGTGGTACAAGGTAGAACTCTCACCTCTCTTTGCGCAAGGCCTAACCCAAACCTGTTTTTAAAGGTGCATACAACTCCACTTTCTGTTTCTGCTGAACATCATGTTGTTCAAGCCATGTGCACAGCATAATATATTGGGAATTTTGGGGGCAGATGTGTATATTTTAAGAAAGGTTCTCTGGGGTAGACTCAGCACAGGGTGAAGTGCTCCACATGTTACATGCTCTCACAGGCGGTGTAACTGTATTTGAGGCTAGATTACCTACCCTGACTCCAGGGTTTGCCACTTCAGATTAGGCCCTTCTCTTTGGTGCTATGCTTCTTTTTATGGCCCCTCTAGTGAATCCCATAAAGCAGGACCTCCCAGTGATGCTTCTCCCGCGCGAGCTGTTCAGATGGAGTAGCTTTCATTAATCAGCTGGAATACAGCATTTAGACGTACTAGATCCATCATGCAAGGCTTGTAGTTGTCTCTTGCCTAACTTGCCAGGACATGATTTTTCAGGTAGACAAGCCTGGGTTTGCCTGTAAGGTCAAATATCCCTCACGCGACAATCCTCAGCTGTGCAATCTCGCACTGGACAGCATGAGATTCTTATTTTTTTCATAATACCTTAGTTTACCTTTTATCTGCACTCCCACTGTGACTGTATGCTCTGCCTGGTGCAGCTGCCGTTCTTATCACAGTATGCAATCGCTAGGCTGGCTTCATACAGCGGTGCCTATGTTATGACTGGTACCATACCAGCAAAATGTTTCTGCTCAGATTTCCCTTCAGAAGCAGGCTACAACCCACTTACTTTTTGAGGCTATTTATTGAGGCTGCCCCCCTCAATATAGTTCTTGCTACAACTGTCAGGAAAAGCTATCCTGCCTTTATGGAGAAGGAACATCCAGGGCTCCAACCCACATATGAACAGAGCCTTAGTGATACGGAGCAGGAATTTATCACAGTTTATGAGATCATGCAGAGTAAGCAGTAGTTTTGTGAAAACCTGCATGATTACAATTATTTGTCTTCAATGAATGCCTTCGAATATTACTCTTAAGAGGTCATGTGTGGAAAGTAATAGTGTTGTGAAAACTTTCATGGTTACTAAAATGGTTTTGTCTCATGTGTCTTAGATGATTGCTCTTCAGGGGACTCCATAAAGAGCCTATCATATCTTCTCCATCTTAAAACACGCATTTTATTGAAAAGTTATACACACACAAAGAGCCTATCATATCTTCTCCATCTTAAAATATGCATTTTATTGAAAAGTTATACACACATATTACAGATATATCAAAATAGTGATTCTGCATATAGTGCCTCAGAGCATTTTAGAGACAGACACACATTTGAAGAACTTGCCTTGCGGTGGGAAAGTGGAGCTGCTCAGATTTCCCAGTGATAAGTGAACTTTTAATAACAGACAAGGATAAGTAATTTTGTCTGGCAGTCACACAGGGTGTAACTACACCTACCTGAGCCATAACACCAGTTGCTGTCCTTTCTCCAGGATGCTCTGCCTTTGGAAGATGACAATGAAAAATTCATAAGTTTGAAAGGTTCATCTTCTCTGATCATGACTTCTGTACTACCGACAGACGCTGGCTATTACACCTGCAAGATGTCATTTCCGTTTGAAGGTGTAACATATGAAATCACCAGAACAATTCATCTGGAGACTGTTGGTAAATATTGACCCCCTTAAAAGATGACAGTGCTTCAGGAAATCTCCTCTTTGCTAATGAAACAGAGGAGAGGAACTCACACTTGGCCTCTCGGCACTGCCAAGGAAAGCGGGACGCCATGGGTGCTCGCTTTGGCACCGATGAGTTTCCCACAGCACCCCGGCGGGGCTGGGGTCACCCCTTTGCCTGGCTCGAAGCGAATTTAGGGGAGGCAGAACTCGATGTTGCAAGCGCCTGGGGTTGTTCAACCGAATAATTCATGCCTG